TTTTTAAAAATCCCAGCAGTCACACGGTGGTGCTGGGTTCGGCTCTGCGCTACTTAATTTGGATTGGCTGTTTTTTTTTTTTTTTTTTTTGTTTTAGAGGACAAGAGCGGCGAGGTCTATCGTTATAGCTTAATTTCTCTATCGAGTAAAAGTTATATCGCGATACATATCGTTATCGTTCTATCGCCCAGCTCTAATTGTTTGATAGGTGGAGTCAGGAGAGTGGTGTTGTAGATTTTACGGCATGATCCTGGGTCCTTTTGACCCAGCGTTTTGTGTTTTCTATTATTGTAATTTTGCTTCTGTTCTTCCTCGGTTAGTGTTCTTTTCTTTCTGTCCGTGTATATCTGTGTCTGGCCTGCATTTCTGAGTTTGTGTCATTACGTGTATGTGTTTCCTGTTTTACTTTGAAAGTCTCTGTCTTATGTCAGTGTGTTCTGTTTACGTTTCCCCTACCTCGTCAGCTGTTATGTCCTCCAGGCGTGTTTCCCTCCTGTTTCCCATCCCTGATTACTGGTATGTGTACTTATAGTGTATGTTCACCCGTCCTAAACTAATTGGTCTGTGTTGTTTCCCTCGGTCTCCCTGTGTCTCTCTGTGTATTTCCCCGGATCTCCCTGCATCTTCGTTTCTGGTTTGTTTTGTTAGTTTTGCCCAGTTTAGGTTTTCCAGTTTCATGTCCACCCGCACCCGGCAGGGGGGGGAAATGATCCTTGGGGAGTCAGTTTTGGGACCAATCCTGGCCGAGAACAGGAGGGTGACTGCTGGTGGGTTGGTCCCTAAGTGTGCCCTGTGAATGCCAAAGTGGCGGCGGTAGTAAACTACCCTGTTCCTACCACCTGGCGGGAACTTAGGCGGTTCCTGGGCCTCGTGGGCTACTATCGGTGTTTCTGCTGGAACTTCTCAACCGTGGTGGCCCCTCTAACCCGCCTCTGTAGCCCAAAGGAACCTTTTATGTGGACCACTGAGTGCCAACACATCTTTGATGGTGCTAAGTCCCTCCTGTGCAGTGCTGGCCGCCCCAGATTTCATTAGAGCATTCAGCCTGGAGGTGGACGCCAGTGCCATGGGGGCTCCAGAAGGGAACTGATGACATCAATAATCCAATTTCCTACTTCTAGAGATTGGCTCTACTAGTTCAGGAATACAACTTGGACAAAAAGGCGGGCATTCTGCAAGCTTCAGCCATTTGAAGTTTCACTTTACTGGACTTCTGTAAACTGAATCTGAATTTTCAGCTCCAAGAAAACTATAAAACACTGAAGAATTTCAAGCACATAACTAATTAACTTAAATCTTTCATTTATTATTCAGACTGGAGAATTGCAGGTTATCGGAGATCAGCTGTCTGGGCTTAGCACTGAAGTCCAATCCCTCCAACATGAGAGAGCTGTACCTGAGTCAGAACAACCTGCAGTATTCCGGAGTGAAACAGCTGTGTGGCTTTCTGGAGGGTCGAAACTGTAGACTGGAAACACTGGGGTAAGATGCCCTGTTTATGTTGTGCAGAAATGAAAGTATATAACATAAGTTTGAGTAAGAGAAAGGGTTTTCTACCCCAGCATAGACTTTCCCAGGGAGGCTGAGATGTGTGATCCCCCTATATTTGGAGCATTCCTTCCATGGTATGACAATATCCTCAGTTGAAGTCATCAGTGCTCCACCTGCACTATACACAGTGCAGGTGGAGCACCAGATTCTATCTGAGGCAATCTGGAAGTTTTTTTCCATGGCCTCCACGAACTCCTCCTTGACCCAAGTTTTTGTTACTGTGACTGCCCAAGCTGCGTTCTGCTTGGCCTGTTGGTACCTATTGGCTCCCACAGGCTAACCAATCCAAATAGGACTGCTTCTTGAGCCTTATGGCTCCCTTCACCTCTGGTGCCCCCCATCTGATTTAGGGGTTACCACTATGACAGGCACCAACCTCTGTGTGGAGGTTGTTGCAGCTTCAGCAATGGAGCTGAACATGATTTATTGATGATCTATATACCCAGTTTCCCTTGGAATTCTGTTGAATCTCTGTCAGAGGGGGATAACTAACCTGTGGCCTAGGGTGTCCATGTGCACTGGACCCTGGTCCAGTGCTTAACCTCTTAAGCCCCAAGCCCACCTGATCTCCTGCCTTTTGCCCACGTATCAGGGGGC